ATGAATCACAGTTCACCTCCTACTTTTTGTAGAGGAGCTTGACGTGCCTGGGTAATCAAAGGGAACTCTGAACATGTCCTGAGGGCTGCTTTATGGCTGGACTACCTCATCTGCCTGCCCTCAAAGGATGTACAGATGATGTACAGATCTAGTACATGCAACCTATTTTTGCATCCTCCAACTACGCCAGAACAGTATTTTACACTTCAGGAGACAGTTAGTCTCTGTGTAAATGGGCCACTCAACAGAACTATGCCATACTGGCACTTCCTCAGAACATCAGACATAGATATTGCCATTTTTCAGGATGTGGGATACAAGATGAATAGATTTCATACCATGACTTCCAAGCCTCCATACTGGGACTTCTGATCAACTGCCCTATTCACCACAATTAATGGAAGTTATTTATGTTAAACAGATTAAAGGCTAAGTAACTTAGATTTTTTTCTGAGTTATGTGTTGTTTCAGCTTCTTATATGTTAAAATTTATTTGCATTAGTGAGGAAATACTGTACTCGCCTTCCCCCAGGAAAAAAAACTTGCTCATGGACTCGAGTTTAATTCTTATTAGTGTAGAAATGTTTTCTGGTGAGGGGCCAAGAGGGCTGGTTCCTGGTGACCATGATTTATTAAAACACTTAATTCCTTACACAACTTGTCAGGAGACCTCTATAGAAGAAATAGCAGGAAAGACTTTGTCATCTCTCATAACACATTTTCAGCTCAGCTCGTTTCCCACTGAAGTCACCAAGCTAATTCCTAGAAATGTTCCCTATCAGGCAACTAGTACTTCTTTATCTACTGTAAGCTGCAAGACTCATAAGTCATCAGTTCATTCTGCTATTTGCTGCTTTGCTATATATTGGGATTAGAGTCAGACTCTTTGAAAATACTTTATAGCACTGTTTAAAAACTTCCAATTTTCTGTTTTATGTAACGTAACCACTTGGAAGCTTTTGTTCAAAAATAACTCTGCAAGTATTCTACAATAAGTATAATGGGATGATTACATTACTACAGAAACTCTGGAAATTTACACAATACGATGACAAATCTCCCTCTGATTCAGGCTGCTTGTGCATGCTTTCTCCTCCCTCCCTCCCCAAAGTGTCTGCTACTGAGGAATTAGTAGATTGGTTCTTATTTTGGTACAATTACCAAAACTTTTTTTATCCCTCTTGTAAGGTAAGGAGGCAGAAGCTATAGGAATGTTATACAGGCTGCAGGGATGCAGGCAGCTCTTGCTCTTCAGTGCCTTTGCCAGGCTATGAACACCCATGTCTCCACCACTGGATAAATGAATGGGCAGTACCATTGGAAAGGGACATCACCACAGGCAGATGTTTACTTCTGTGATCTGTGCAGCCTGGCTGGGAACACCTGGGCATGGGAAGGAGGGGGGGGGAGGGGAAACGTCTGGCAAAGGGGTGTTTCAGGTGAAGGTGAGCCAGAGGCTTTACCTGAGTACTGCCAAGAGCATGAAAGAGCAGACGTTTGCATTATACTTCTTTTGGAACCTGCTCCTCCTGAGCTTTGCTGCTGCTAAGGGTTTAGAGTATCTGTGCACCAGAAAGCTTTCCTAAATCAACAGTCTCCTGTTGCTACATAAATACCTAACTGGAGCAGAGATGTTTATTTTCGAAGTGGGAGATGTTGTTTCTGTGACAATATTTTATTATAATGATTTTGATCATGAACCTGCAATCTTTACATGAAGACAAGGCTCTCCTTGATTTCAGTGCAAGCTTTGTCTGACTAAGGATTTCAGAATTAGCTCTTTGGTTTTATTTTTATTGAAAAACAAGCCTATGCTTGACAAGATAAAAACAGTAAGTAGATCATGTCAGGGAGACAAATTCCTGTGAGAAATTTCTAGCAGGAAAAACAGAGCTTTATGATTACATGGCAGTAAGTTGCGAGGTTCAAATTCTAAGGGTTTTCCAGAGAAAAATACTAATGCACTATTGTGAAGGGTACCTATGCCACCAGGGGAAAAGTCCCAACCCAGCACATGCCTCTGGCACCTCTCTATTAGAGACTACACAAACGAGTAAAGGTTGCAGCACTGAAATGAATAAAGTATTTCCATGAAAACTTAAAACATCCATGGAATTAAACCACATTTTGACCTAAGGGGTTTTGAGGGTAGATTGCGTATCAGTCTGGCCATACTTTATGCCACCAAATGGGCATATAAGCTTATCTGGGAGCCATTCGCAGAGGGGAGCCACCCAGCACCCAAACCCGCAAAGACCCAAACCCAAACCCAGCACACCAAGCTCTGCAGCTCACAGTAATTGCAGAGGCAGGGAAATGTCAGCAAAAAGGCTGGGGTGGGCCAGGGTGGGGGGTTGCCCTTCAGCCCTGCTGTGCCGTTCATACAGGCAAGAAGTCCACAGGGAGTGGGGCAGGCGCAGGAGGCTGGGAGCACTTGGGGTGGGACAGGCAAACATGGAGCTGGGGCTTCACTGAGTGCCTGGTCCACACCCCCTGCATCAGCAGACCCCCAAAAAAGCCTAGAGCAAAATGCCAGCAGGGCAGGGGCAGCTGCAAGATGCTCTGGCAAACAGGAGAAAATGGGGTGTTTGGGGTTTTATTTAGGGGGGTGCAGTTTAGGGAGTGATGAGCGAGGCCGTTGTTTTAAACCAAACATTCCCACTAGGAGCAGACGGCTGTGAATACACTGCTTGACCCACAGCTGTTTGCTGAGCCGGGATGCATGCTTCGTGCCCTGCTGATGCGCTGATGGAAGTGGGTGCTCTCAGAAGTTTGTCCCAGTTCTGGTTTGATCATAATCAAAGGATCAGTGTTTTTGCAGGCACGGACACAGCAAGGGGGAATGTGGGGATGCATTGTTGGAGAGGTAGGGGAAGAGTGAGGGAGAACGTGTATTACATTAAAAAGCCCCCCATTGCCCAGAAGGGGAAACAGGAACCTGAATTTAGTAACTCGGTGATCTAAGGCACCGGATTTCAAAGGTGGGGAGCAGTAGGGCGACACGCCGGCTAAACTCGCAGCCCCTCCAGCACCCTGTGCAGGCTGCAGGCAGGGGGCAAAGCGGGTGTCCCCTCTCCCTCCCCCATTAGGAGTCTGCACCAAATACTGGTCAGCAGCAGAGGTGCGCCAGCATCAAAGGAGCTTTCGGTCCGTCCTCACAGCAGGCTGCCAAGCCGCTGTGACGGGATTTTGCAGCCCCCTTCACCCTGCTTTAAATGGAGATAACACCGGGGCAGCACGTTTAATTAATCTCATTGATCAGCGCGAACCGGAGGCACCGTCCCTCCGCGAGCAAAACGGGTGCGAGCCGGCTTCTCCCGCCGTGACATCCCCTCTCCGTCCGTTCCTTTCCCCCCGCGGGACCCACCTGCCCGCTTCATAAACGCCTTTTGCCGCACCACGTTATTTCCCCGGCCTGCGAAAGCCTCCGGCAACAGGGAAACTCACTGCGGCGCGACCGCTACCGAACTCTCGTGAGCGCCCGTGGTGCTCGTGTATGTGAACATGCGGCAAGCGACCTCACGGTGCCAACGCTCTAGAGAACGGAGCCGTTCACCTACCCACCCCCGGCAGCGTTCTAGAGCCCCGCCTGGCCCCCGCAGCCGCCGCCCGGCTCCGCAGTGTCGGGGGCTCCCCCCCCCCCCCGTCACCTGATTACCGCCGCGCACAGCACAGCACAGCACAGCACAGCACAGCACAGCACAGCACAGCACAGCACAGCACAGCACAGCACAGCACAGCACAGCACAGCACACTAGGGTCGAGTTTCCCCTCCCCCCCCATTCCCATTACCTCCTTCATTCCCTCCCTCCCTCCCGGGAGCGCGCTGGGGGCGGGGGTTTCGCGGTATATACGGCCCCACCGTCCCCGCCCCTGCCTGCTTCCTGCAGTACGGGAGGCTGGGAGGCGCAGCTGTTGCCGCTGACGGGCCGGGCCGCACCGCGGCAGGTAGCCGAACAGTGTCGCCCCCGGATTGCTGCGGGGTGAGTGTGCAGAGCTCCGGCCCCTCTCCACCTTCCCCCCTCCCTTCCCGGTTGGGGGCGGGGGGAGCTGTGCCACCGTGAGAAGGTGCGGGAGGGGTGAAGGGGGGGCTCGCCCGGGTGGTACTTGTTGCGGCGCTCAGGGGCTGTGGGTGCGTGGTGGCGGTGGCAGCTTGTAGCTGCCCGCGCCGTCGGGGCGGGGTAGAGCCCCGCGGAGCGGCTTTGCGTTGCCCGTCACTGTGTGCGCGGTGCCGGCGCGGAGGACTGCGGGTGGCTGCTCGGTCTGGCCAGGGCAACGATGTGAGCAGCCGCCGCCCGTCCGCACCTGCCCTACGGCAACCCCCCCCCGGGCTCTTCCCAGAAAGTTTCGAGAACTCCTTAAAATGGGAAGCGGCACCAGGAAAACCGAGCTCCCGGCGGCTGCGCTCCAGCGAATGTGACTGGCTCCTGCTTCGGTCTGCCGGCGGCACCGGGCGTAGCCTGGTCGGGCTGGGCGGCGGAGGGCAGCGAGGGCTCGGATCCCAGCGGAGGTATGCGGAGAGAAGGGTTTGCAGTATCTCAGCCGCTGGGGTGTGTGGTTCGGGTGGGGTTTGAGTTAAAAGCCTTCTAAACTTCTGCAGGCATCACATTTTAGCTACAATTTACCTAATGAGGATCCAAAAAAGCACCTTTTTTTTTTTTTTAAAATCCAGTATATGGTGGAGACACAAAAGAAAAAAAAAAACAAAAAACCAAACCAACAGTCTGTTCCAACTGTCAGCGTGTTGGGGAAGAGCAGTCGCTTTCCGGAAGCATGCATTCGCAGGGGCAGGTTTTGGGATGCAGGCAATGCTGCCCTGGTGAGCTTAGGAAGGTTCCAGAAAGCAAGGTGGGTGCTGTCCGCTCTGTGGAAGCGCCCCAGAGTCTACCCATCTCTTGCGGGGGACTGTGCAAGGGGAGTGAGCAGTCTGACTTCCACATGAACATAGCCCACCCCACTGTAACCCCGTGGGGATGACAGCTAAAGAGGATGTGCTGGAGATGAAAAGAGTGCAGCTTCCCTCGTGCAGTCGTGGTTTGGTGACCACGCTGTGGCTCCATGCAGTCATTAGCAGGGACCTATCAGAAAATGCCTTTGCTGGGCTGCTTCTACTGAAGCGGTTTTGAGAAATCCAGGTTGCTACAACCTGGAAGAAGTCTTAAAACAGTGATTGCCAGTGGTGCTCCCTTGCATGGAGCCCTCTTCTGCAGTAGAGGTCTAGCTCTCTTCATGGGAAGGGTGTTAATTGACATGCTTCATGCAGCAGGGTGGGTTCTTACTGTTTTCTGACAAACTACACCAGTTACACAAAATCACTGAGAGGGGTGACCTACTTGGAGGGAGAAGAGGAAAAAGTGTTTGAGGAGACCTTGATTTCAAACATTGCGTTGCATGTCCTAACCAAGCAGGGTTATTGCCTCCTGAAGGTGTGAAATGTATGGCATGAAGGCTTCCCTTCCTTTTTCTTTTTTCTTGCAGCTTTAGCAGGAAGGAGATAGTTACTCAAGAGCATGCAATTCGTATGTTTCTTAAACATCCCTGCATTGTGGCAAGAGATTAAAATACCTAGAGTGTGTCTCCTCATCCTATCTCTCTCAAACTGTATTTAAAATCAGAGTATCATTAGCAAAATTGTAGGTACTCATGGGGAACGAGGGTATGTTTTATGGTTGAAAGTCAGAAAGCCAACAAATAACACTTTTGCAAATACCTGGGTCTTGCAGGTCTTCAACATGGTTGGTACTGAACAGCTACTTTCCTGCATGCAGTTCAGTGTAAGTACAGGAGGTGTTCCTATGATTTTTTTTTTTCTGTTTGTGGATTGTGGTAGATTAATGGATTCTTCCCCCCTCTTTAAATAGGTGGGTTGATTGTGACAAATGGTCAACATAGCATATTGCAGATGGTCTTGGTTGGGAGGCATCATGGGTAGTATCTGAAAGGCTCTGCTTTTCATACTCCCCCACAAAAAAAAAGGTAACTAGGAAAGAATTTGCCTGTATGTCCAGTGCTGATGTTACCAGCAGCTATTCCCTGTGAAGGAATGAGATACATTACAATTAATTTGTGGCACTGTTACGGCCTTTCTTGAGCCGTTGAAATGTTGGAAGGTAGGTACCCCAAGGATTTCATTAGTACCACTCAACAGTCAATGAATAGATGAAACCCACAAAGCATGGTATGCTAACAAATAAAACTTAATGTGAAAATAATGTTTTTAATGTAATAAAAATATAAACTGTCTTACTGGCATCGTGAATCATCTGCGTATTAAATGCCTGTTTAGAAGGGAAGAGTTGGCCGCATTTCACCACAGGTTAAGTAATTGTGGGTTAATAGGATTCTGTCAAATATATGCTGGGAAATGTTAGTGTACAAAGTAATGATTTTTCTTAACATGCCTGCATTTTACCTTGAAAACAAGTCCACAGTTCTTCAGACTCTTTTGTACTGCATAGATGCATGATGGCTATCTGGAGGTAGAGAATGGATTTTAGAAGGGCGCTCTGGAAGCGGTAAATAATGAATGCTCATAAGATCAATTTTAGAAATGGGGGAAGGGAGGGAATTGGGCCTTCTTGTAAAAACTACGTCCTACCCGATTATTTTTTCTTTAGTATATCAGGCCAAACAATGCTGTATTTTGACTTGTGTTAACATAATATTGTTGCTGGCTAGTTTTAAGCTTGTATTTTAGAATAGAGACCAGGGCTAGAAGTTCTTTTTGGTTAAACTGAGTGCATAGACCTTGGAGAACATGATATTCCTTAAAGTTGTTTTGAAAGCAAAAAATATTTTCTGTACTTCAGTGTCTACAGTACTTTCTGATAGTGTGTACTTGGTATTTACTGTAATCTACAGCTGCCTTAAATCAGTTACATAAATAGTGTTAAGTAAATGTGACATTGTTTTATGAGAAACTTGTCATTTACTATTTCTGTAAATTAGGTGGTTTAAGTTAATTTGTTTAATGAAAATATTATAACTTGGATTTCATAAGTAATAAAGTTTTTAACATTTTCACATACTGTGCATTGTCTTGTAGTGTCAATACATCTGCATGGTTCAAGGAGAGGACACAATAATATTCATCTTATTTTAACCATTATGTTTAATATGTCATATGCAGATGGATTGAGGTTAATGCGGGGGATGTCTGTGGGGAAAAATCCTTGTCCTCGAAATATTTTTAGGAACAATTGACCAAAATAGGCTTCCCTGTTTTGGGGGTGGGAGTGGATGCTTTGGAGAATGATTTTGTTTGTCTCTTCTGGTAATTCTTCATTTTTAAAGAATAGGTTTCCTAGTTTTGGAAACCAGCAAGGGAGGGAGAGATGGGAGAGCTTATTACAGGAAAAGGTTAGTACTATCCTGTTCTTTATTGTTTTATTCATGGGGTTTTTCCTTCTCGTGCCTGACCTGCCGATGGATTATTTGGGGAGAGAAAGGAAGGAGTGTGTTTTCAAGGCAGAGACATGTATCAGAGGGGATGCTCGATTAGAAAATTGTAGTACAGCCCTACAGCCTAATGGAGTGAGAAGATGACAAGTCTCAGCCAGCTGGGTGGGGCACAATGCAGTGCTAACTGTAAGCCTTTTGTCTGATAAAAATTTCTGAAACCAAGTGATTGTCTGGCAATTAGCATCTCACTTGACCTTTTTAAGGACAGGAAAACAAAGGTAATGAATGTATCTTTCAGTGCCACCCAGTTTGTCGGGATTTTTGTGCATTGCTAGAGAGCCGCAATGACTCCTGTGGCTCTGGTTCCCAGCGCAGCGTGGCTATTCAAAATTTGAAAGATTATTTGTGATATAGTGCCTGTAGAAATTGTTAAACCCTTAAGCAAACGAAAAGCGCCGTGTAAAGCTGCTAAACTACTTTGCCTGACTGTTTTTAAGGCTTCTTTTCTTGTCAGTGCAGTGAATTAACTTCACCAGAGTTTCAGAGGTTGCTGGAAAATGCAAGTCTTGTTGTTCCTAAGCTGCACTTTAAGTCTTCTGTATTACTGAATAGTTGGAATTACTAGATAATTACAGAAAACCTAGTGCATTGTTTAAGTTAAATGTAAGCGTTGTTTAAAAACCTTGTTTTAATGAGATACGGCATTCTTAAATGCTCTTGCTACAAAAATTAATTTGAGCTTTTTTAAATACTGCATGGTTATCAAAGAATTTGTAACATTTTGTAAGGAGGATACTTGCAAGACCTTTATTTTGTTTTAAGGCTCTAGAATCTGAAATCAAGTCTAATAATCCCAGGTATGTGTGAACAGCTATTTATGTTTTGCTAAATTTGAAACAGTATAAATGTTAGGGTTTGTGCAAGACTTAAGTAAGCTTGAATCTATTGAAAACTGATGCAGAAGATCATCCGTGTGAGGGGAATTTTATATGGTTGTGAGGTACCTTGGAAATAATTAAACTAATACTTGTGCTGGTTTTGTTGGTCCATTAAATGCTTAATTACTTCATTTGAACATGACTGAGGGGATTCATTTACAAATTAATACTTATTTTTAATGCCAGGTGACAGTATCATCACTGAAATGCATACTTCTCTGTGGTTTACACTTTCTGTAGAGACAATTTAATTTGCATGTATCGAAAAGAAAATGGTGGCTTTTCATCTCGCGGTGAAGACTGAATAGAAAACTGATGTTGTGATGTCTTAACACTGGGGCACTGTTTTGCAAAGAATAATGTATACGCTGAAGCATCATCATAGAATTAGACAAACTTTAAAATGCGCAGTGAATGTTTTGAGATGCAGTTCATTTCTGCTGCACTTAATATCTGAATGTTATAATGGATGTCTGCATTAACAGAACACATTAGGGCTTATGTATTGTAGGTAAAATAGGGAATAGGCTAAAGAGGGAGAATGTAAGTGCTATCCAGTAACTGACTTTTCTTAAGCTTACCATAGGATATTCAATACTAAGATGAAAAAGTATAAATGGTAAACAGTATGTATTTATCATCTATGCAGTATTGACCTAGATGAAAAGGAAACAAGTAATAATCAGCATTTTAAATAGAACATTAAAAATGAATCTCTTAAGACTTTGAAACGTGTAATCAGTGTAAATTGGAGGGGAGGAGAAGGAAGGGATTGGGGGAACTGTTGCAGTGTGCTCTACTCCTTCAGCTCTTTATACAGAAGTAGGTATCATGATAGAGAAAAATAAAACAACTGCCTAAATTTGCTGGATTTCAAATCAACTAGTAGCACTCGTGAACTACACGGGGTATTTCTGCAAATCGGTATGTTCCGTCTGTGCTTTGTTGGAGCAGCAGGCCTATTTGCAAAGCTGTTTGTCACACAGTCATTTTTATTGTAATAGGGCTGATATGGAAATATTCCTCTGATACATCTAAAGAAAAGACAAATGGCAGCATTTATAGAAGGTGGCAGATTGAACCACAGTATGTGTGTAGGGAGAAGGGGTTGGTGTTGTCTTGTTTCCCACCCCCAGCCCCATTACCAAAGAGGGGATTGACGTTATTTTGTTTAAATATGGTGTACCTTATGTTGGACTAGTGGAAAGATTAACACAATTGGGCTCTTAACCTGGTTAAGGACCCTGGGTCCTGCCCCAAGGTAAACAATGGATATTTTCTTGTTTGCCCAGCAGGTCTTACTGTGTGGAAAAATAGCTGGGAGCCAGTCCTATTCTTTTTAACCGCTTGTCTTGCACATAAATACATTAAACTTAAGGGTGTTTTGGAAGAAGTTTGGCCTTTCTAACAAGTCAAAATACTTGGATTTTGTTGTTTTATTTCCGCTGAAGGGCCTGATCCCATTTTAATACTTTTATATTTAAACTGATCACCCATCAATTTCAAGATTAAAAAAAAAATAAGTGACCTCTTTAGCTGATATAAAGCAATGGCTGATTGCTCTTGTGGACTTACGTGCTGTTCATCCTCTGTAGTGAATGTGGTCCTTAGTAATTCAGCTATATACTGATAATTTTTATGTACATTTGGGATTTAACTTTTATTAAAGCGTAAGAGGGTAAAACATGAATGAGGAAAGCAAAGATGAGGAAAAGTTTTGTTCTGTTTTGTTTCTCAGAGAAAAACGACTTTCCCTGCTGAACAAATTTTGTTTACTCCTTCTTCCCTGCTCTAAGTGGTAGCATATGAAGGGATGCAAGTCTTAAATGACAATGCAGAAAGGTGCAGATCTGCACCCAAGTTCCTTGGTGTTGTGATGGGTCTCACCTTCCCCCTTTACAACCCACCTGGCAATGGATAGATCTGGCTGAATTTTTCTCTGCTCTTTGTTCTGGTGATAACCAGTGTTTGTCATGGAGGCTGACAAATAGGAAATAGATTATTTTAATGATTTGCTAAAGTGCAAACTTAAATTAGAATGTTTCTGAAGACAGATGTAGTCTAGATTTAGACAGCATCTGAAAGAAGAGTTGTAAATTATTTTTGTAAGTTATCAAGGTAATGACACCATGGGTGATTTTGAAGCATATTGCAGGAAAATGGTTGCCTCCAGTTGTCTTGGCTGCGCTTACAGCAGCACAATCTCTGCCCCAAATCCTCCACCAGTGCCAGTTTGTGCTCCCATAAGCTGAGCCGAGAGCCCTTTGCTTTGAGATGCACCTGGCACTTCTTGCATCCATGCACACCTCTGTTAGCATAAACTCAGGGTTTTCACTCAGCTTGCAGCAATGCTATGGACTTTAATCGTGAGCTGCCTGACTCACCAAGACCTCTTAAATATTCACAAAGTTGAGACATAAAGCACTGGCATCACTGCAGTCAGTGGGAAAGGTGTTGTTGACTGAATCTGAGCTGAGGCATGCCCTGCTGGTGGTCACGTAGTGGTTGTGCATCACCTTCTCCTTGGGCGTTGTCCTCCTGAGAGATGAGGCTTAGCAAAAGGCATTGTATGAGTCTTACTTACCACCTGCTGTCCAATTTAGTTGATAACTGACTAGAACAGTGCTACTCTAGCCTAAAGAAAGAAGAATCTTTGAGCAGTTAGTGACTCATGTCGTTGCATGGCTGCTTGGAGGAGATTGGCAGCCTTGCCCTGCCAAAGCAAGTACTAGAGCTTTGGAACTAACTCTTGCAAGTCACTCCTCTGAGGACTTGTATTTCCACCAGCTTTCAGTAAACCCACTCTGGGCATGCTGTGGTAGTTACCAGTAAAGATG